TTGTGGCATTTTATTCTTTATCTGGTAGTGATAGTGGAGAGAAACGGCAGATGTGGGGAAAGAGAGTAGGGGAATGACATGCAGCAAACAGCCCATGTGGTATGTGCCCTAACCACTCGGCTATTAGATCATACCCTCTGCAAGATGTTTGAAAAGTCCTTAAAGACCAATCTGCATGAACTAGTCTGGGTCTCTTTTTTAGAACTGACAGATTTAGTCAGATTTGTTTCCAGAGTTTCTATCTCAGCCTCTTTCCTGACTTTTTTTGTTGTTCTCATCTTTACTCTTGAGCCAAGATCCATCCTTCTCTTTTCCTGTCTCTCTCCCATCTTGTCCTTTTCCCCAGGGGTGTGTTTCATGCTGTGTTCTCACCTCCGTTTTAACAGAGACAGGAACAACACCCTCCTCCCGCACCAACACACCCTCCAAATTTTAAATATGGCCAGTCGAGCGTGTCAGCTTGCCCTCTACATGCACTCTTTCTCTCTCTCTCTCTCTCTCTCTCTCTCTCTCTCTCTCTCTCTCTCTCTCTCTCTCTCTCTCTTTGCTAGTTACTGTTAGGGCTGCACGATATGCAGAACAAAAAAAAAATCATTGCGATTGTTTTGGTAGACATTGTGATTTCAGTTGGAAAAGTCGAGGATATAACGTGCGGTCCTGGGCGTCTCAATGAAATAATAAACAATGCACAACGATGCAGTGACACATTTCACCTTTATCAAAAAAAATTGCAGCTCCTGCGATGTGGATATTATGCTTGGCCATATTGCTATTTCAAATATATTTCAATTACTTGTGCAGCCTTAGTTACTGTTATATTTAAGTGTTAAACGCAGTGTGTTTATTACATTTTGTCATGTCAAAAGCTGTGAAATAAATAATGTTACTGCTCCAGAGCAAACTACAGCTGAAATGATAAATCAATCAACAGAGAATTAATCTTTTAGCAGTTTAGCTAAAAAAGTCACTTGTTCCAATTTCACATGTGAATATTTATTTTCTTCCCTCTATGACTGAAAACTGTAAATTCTTTAGTTTTGGACTGTTGGACAATCAAAAGCAATGTTGACATGTGGGCTTAGGGAGGCTGTGACAGGCATTTCACATTATTTTCTGTCGTTTTATTGATGAAACAATAAATGAATGGAGAAAACATTCAGCTTATTAATCAGACATAGAAACAATCATTAGATGCAGCCCTAATCCACCTCCTTAAACTGAAACCTATTTCTCTAAATTGTTTAGAGCTCCTGATGCTACTGATGCTGTAAGACCTCCAAATATGTAGTTTGAGATTGTTGGTGTGAGAATCCAACATATTTTCTTGTGTGCATCTCCGCCAGCTGCTTGTCAGCATTCATCAGATATCGGCATGCTCAGCAGGAATGATTAGGCTTGCGGCCATGAAGTACAATTACTCTCACATTTTTCTGCCAAGCACATTACACGCACAAGTAGTCCAACTTATTGTAAGTGTGTGTTTCACCTCCCAGTTGAGACAGACAGCTGGTGGAGGGAGAAACAAAGCCAGTTTAGAGAGCAGCATGTTGGATTTTCAGGCTCATCTTCATATCGGTGTCGTTGATGCTTCAGCGCTGACTTGAACGGACGGAGCTAACGTGGAGTTAAACCTGCCCAATGTGTCCTAACAGTAATGTTGTTACCAATGAACCTGAATAAATGGCATTAGTTATTTCCCTCTAACATCATCTATCGCTAAGAATGTTGGTCTCATCTTTGATCAGAATATGACTTTTGACCCCCAGGCTACTAAGTTCAGCCAGTCCTGCTGTTGTTTTCATTTTAAGGTCCCATATTGTAGAAAGGAAGATTTCAAAGTGTTCAATCCAAAGAGAAATGCACACAGTGTATTGAGAAACTGGGCCTTAAAATGAGTCGTCAGGACATCCATATAAATTTATGATGTCACAACGAAACAGTCACTACCTTCAGCTCTGCCCCCAGTATGCCTGCCCTGGACCCACCGTCCTACCTTGCAGGATCTGGTTTCTGCAAGTGTCTACTTGAAATCAGCTTTATTTTCATGACCTCTATTAAGGACTCTTATTAGTGTTTTGTTCTTTTCAGCGTTTAATGTTTAACACTTTTCTATTCGACAGTAACAACAGTAACATATGGGACCTTTTAAGAGATGCTGCTGAAAGCAGATGCATCTTATACATATCATGAAGTATTAATCAACATTCATTAATTTTAACTCGTCTTGATTATTTAGCATCAGTTGCTATAAATCAATTACAGTTGGTTGAAAATGCATCTGCCAGGTTATTAACTAGAATCTGTTGGTCCCACATTAGCCCTGTACTTGCATCCCTCCATTGGTTTTCTGTTAAATGTGGAATACTGATTACATATAAGGCACTGTACAACCTTGCCCCCAGTTAAATTTCTGATCACCTCACTCTGATCCTCAAATCTCTGCCTTTTGCCCATCCCCCGTTCCAACTGCGAAACAAAAGGTGATCACGCCTTTGCTGTTTCAGCCCCAACCCTCTGGAATGCATGTTCCCCAGTCCATCAGACCCTGTTCAGACCTGGTATTAACACCCGTCTCAGGTGATCTGATCACCACTGGACAGCTCTAAGTTCAGGTGTGAACGCTACCAAGACGGGTGTGATGACTGATTTGAGATCCAATCACCCACACCACATTCAGAGGTGGTCTGGACCACATGTGTCCACATTCTTTTAGTAGTGTAAATGCAAATGTGTCCCGGGCCACACTGAAAGACCACCCACTCTACTGACGTCCTCACTGACGTACACAGTTTCATAATAAACCAAAAATATTTTACTATTTCAAATGGATAAAACCTCATTTCACTGTAGAGCTTTGTGCAGGAAAATGATTCGCTCAATCCCCCCCATGCCCCGTTCTCTCTCTCTCTCTCTCTCTCTCTCTCTCTCTCTCTCTCTCTCACACACACACACACACACACACAACACATCAACACACACACCACGACACACACACATAAAGACCTGTCTGTCGGACTGCCTAAAAACAACAACGCATACCTGTTTATTTGCAGATAGAGTGGGGAAGTGAGATCCAATCTCAAGTGATCGCTGGAGACACGTTTAAAAGCCAGGTGTGAACTGACGCCCTTAGAGCTGACCACTTGTGATCGGATCACTGAGGACACACGTTAATGCAGGTCTGAACAGGACCTCAGATTTGCTGAATCTTTGGACTGTTTTGGTTCATTGGTTCATTTTTTTGTCTGCGTGTGGAGCACTTTGTGTTGAAAAGGTCTATATAAATAAAGCTTTGCTTACTTACTTACTCCAACAGGCCTGTTTAGGTGGTTAAGGACATCCAATATGGCTGCCAGAGGAAACCTGTCATTACACCTTGAACATGTTTTCAAATAGGGCAACAGTGTGCCACAGAAATGATTGGTCTGATCTGAGTGTCTCACTTTGATTATCTATGGACCACATGTGTGTGTGATTGATAAAGTATAAAACTATATGAATGGGTAACATTCAATATCACCGTTGTGAGGAGCTATCAGGAGCTTCTGTCTTTACCTGGATACAGCAGCACTGAAGTATCTTACCTGTAAGTAGCCGAGGTCAGTGTAGCTTGGTGAGTGGATGTATATCTGTGATTAGTAAAGGCTAAAGCTACGCCAACTGTCACTGTCAAGCAACACAGGTGAAAAGGTTCCACACACAGGTGGCACCATGTCGCATTAGTCTGTGGTAATGACAGTTTAGCATCACGTTAGTAAGCCATAATCTACAGCTACATGTGCCTAACCTTCTGGCTGTTGGCATTAGTGTGTGTGTGTGTGTGTGTGTGTGTGTGTGTGTGTGTGTGTGTGTTTGTGTGTGTGTCCCATAACATAAATCATTCAATTTTAGGGTTAGGCAAGTAGTAGCTATGGTTAAGGTCGAAGTAAGTCTACAGAAAATGAATGCATGTCAGTGTAATGTCCTTAAGTCATGGAGACACAACTGTGTGTGTGTGTGTGTGTGTGTGTGTGTGTGTGTGTGTATGTATGTGTGTGTGTATCTTTTCTCACAGTAAGATGTGAATGTGTGGACAGCTGCAGGGCTAACGATCTCACCTCCTGCCCTCCCTCCCTCTCTCTGTGAAACCTTCATCTGTTCAGCCTTGTCTTAGCAGACAATGACACCAACATGTTGTATACATGCAAACAGTTTCCACCTCTCTCACAACGTGGCAGACTGTTTGTTTGTGTGATGGCGTGTGGACCCCATCTGGTAGGAGAGGAAGCAAGACAAGAAAAAGAAAAAGAGAAGGCATGTCTACACTAATGTGAATATATTTTAACATTTGTGTGAATGGGATTCCTTCTGCACAAAGAAATTCTAGGTTTTTCTCTAAAAGTTTGCTATCCACACAATAGCTGTGTCCCAATTTAGGGGCCTGTTTTTGTGCATGGAGATACTGTCATGTTGAAAAAGGAAAGGGACATCCCCAATCCTCTGCCACACAAGTGGAAGCTGTACTGTACACTACTGTATCACTGTGTGGTGCTGCATGAAGATTTCACTTCACTGAAACTCACAGTCCCAGAACGAAAGTACACAACAGTATGTGGACAGGGCTGTAGTTTGATGGTGCTGTGTGTGTGTGTGTGTGTGTGTGTGTGTGTGTGTGTGTGTGTGTGTGTGTGTGTGTGTGTGTTTTGATACATCTTATCTACCATGGTCAGTTGTGTGGAAAGTCCAACTATCTTTTTCCTCAGATTCTCCCTGTGATCATCATCATGTGGTTCATGTCTCAAAGTGACATTTACGTGTCATCACTGTCACATCCTTCTCTTTCTGCTCTGACGACTGCAGGACTATGAAAATGTGATTTGATTAAGTGTCATAAAAAAGTCGTTGTTGACATTCAAAAGTGTTCAAAGTACTGAAGTGATTTTAATTGCTGTTGATAAGCTGGAGCTTGTTTAAGGTGAGGAACAGTGTGTAGTAACAGTTGTGTGTCTGTTTGTGTGCAGGCTGCAGGTTGAATCTGTCCCTCGGCCTTTCTGTGAGAGGAGTGACCCAGACACCACAGTGACAGGTAAGACTGGCTGATGGAACACAAATGGCAGCTCAACTTTATAGCCTCCTCTGGGGAGTGTGTGCCTTGCTCAGGGGCACTGAGGCAGTGGAAGACACACACACAATGACTCAGCTGGATTCTGGAGTGGCTGACAGAATATTTTGGAATAAAGGAGTTGAGACACAGTGTAAATTGGGTTGATGTGGATGCTGTGATTTTAATTCTGGTAATTTGGCCTTCACTCCTGTATTTCTGGAAAGGCATTGACATCATTGAAATTAAGTAAGATGGGCCAAGAAATGAGAGGTGAGACAGTCAGACATGTTGCAAACAAACCTCCAGGTTAGAATTTATCTGGACGAGAAAATGAAGGTGAACGGTAAAATTATTGCCCAAGGTGTCTGTTGTAAACATCCGCCAGTTCACAGACCGACTTCCTGCTTCAACAGCGACCTACAGTGCTTACATAAGTTAGGCACACACATGTTTACTGATATTTCACTCTCAGCTTTACCTTCATAATAATGTGGTTTAAATAGTCTCATTAAGTAATTGGCTTGCCAAGATCGCACAAGGCCTTTCAATTTGGAGCTTTCACAGTAAAGCAGTTGCCAAGTTTGCACAAACTAAAGAACAAAAACTGTAAAAAAAAAAAAAAAAAAAAAAAAAAAAAAAAAAAAAAAAATTTGCGATAAACCTGAATTATAACATGCAGGACTGACACCAGCATCTTTTTCATGTTTTAACAAGTTAAATGACTTGGACAACACAATATATGGACAGAAATATGATATTTCAGTTACATATGTAAGATGATAGGAGGTATGAGAGCTCAGGGTGGAGACACATGATGATGGCCCTTTTGTGAGCAGTCAAAAGAGATTCATTCAGTGTCATTATCTGATATGGAAACCTGCCCAGGTGAACTGTAACAAAAGTACAATCAACTTCAATTTCAAATATTTTCATTATCTCTTTTTAGTTTTTAGTTTTGCCAATATAAAAAAAAAGCCTTAAAGGACACACCTAGATGTGTCCAGCATTTCTTTTGTCCCTGATAATCTTTTGCATAAATTTTTGGGGTCATGAAATATCACCATATATAACAAAACTTTATCAGGAGCTTGAGGTGGTGGTCTCAGTCTGGCTTTCCCATAGCACCGCAATAATCTGCAGAGAACTGCAGTTATCTCCAGGCCTGATTCCCTCTCCTATACAGCTACGTATCAATGCATCTCGATAAACAAAGGAATGAAAGAAATGTTTTCTAAAGAGTCAGTGGTGCCTTCCTTGTGTTCCTTCACCTTCTGTATATTTTAATGTGACATCTGCTAAATTCCCCATATCTTTGGGGCCAAATTACAGCTTTGAAAAGGCTCTGAAAAAGAAGCAAAGACAAGCCAGTTAATTACTGACTGCTGAGTTATTTTATCCAACACAATGAGTGATTTATTAAACATGCGTTCTTTCTCAGTCATTTCCTGCAGCAGTGATTTTTAGGATTTATGTTCTCAGTCACTGGCTGTTGGTGCAGGTTACACTGCAGCCACAGTGTTCATCAGATCATTTGTCCCACTAAAGACATTTCAGAGGAAACACGCAGCAGCAGCATGTCAGTGAACAGAGCTGCGCTTCACTGAGGGAAACATGACTGTTTCACATTATGTAAGTTGGCTGTAATGGGATTCTGTCTTTCTGGCCTAATGGCTCCCAGCATGCACTGCACCCTCTATTATTTATGCCGTTGCCATAGTAACGGGGATGGGGAGGGGCGGAGTCTGACAGCTGGTAGATCAGGGATGGAGAAAGACCCTCCCTGCCAGGACACCTGGGTGTGTGTGTGTGTGTGTGTGTGTGTGTGTGTGTGTGTGTGTGTGTGTGTGTGTGTGTGTGTGTGTGTGTGTGTGTGTGTGTGTGTGTCTATCTTTATCTCTTGGGACCAGTTTGAGTTATAGATGGAGTGAGTAAAGTGAGGACATTTTGGTCAGTCCTCACAACTTCAAAGGGCCATGAGGGTTTAGACCTAGTCAGAGTTACAGTTGTGTTCAGGTTGGTTAAGATTAGGATGTGGGGTTAGAGAATGTATGTTAATGAGTGTCCTCACAAAGATAGAAGTGTGTGTGTGTGTGTATGAGCAAGGGGAAGGAGTGGGGTGGGGGGGGGGTTACAATGCTCATGAGAACAGGGACTCAGGGGGTTTGCCATGCATTTTTTATGTACTGCATCATTGTGTGTGCATGTGTATGAGCTCTGTGCCTGTGTGTGGTGGGAATGTTGCCACATTGTCTTGAGTATTTGTAATGTACATGTGTAGGCCTATGAATTAATGTATTTTTTAGTATTTTTTTTTCCCAGGTTGTCCGTCTGTCCGTCCCATTCCCATGAACACAGTATCTCAGTAACACCTTGAGGGAACCTCTTCAAATTTGTTATGTAAATGTTCCTTTGGACTCAAGGATGAACTGATTAGATTTCGGTGGCCAGAGGTCAAAGTGACTTTCACCACACAAAACACATTCTTGGCCATAGCTCAAAGAATCACACACTAAATAACTCTAACTGGACTGAGTGATGGAGGCATACAACCATGAGGTGGAAATTGTAGTCTTTTTAAAAACAACACCTTCTAACTCAAGGTAGTGCATAAACTGGGACCCCTTGAGGCCAATTTGTCATTTGTGATATTGGGCTATATAAATGATATTTGATTTAACTTGAATTGAGGGAATCTTGACGGACCACTACAAAATATGATGATGTACCATTCATTAATATTTATGAAAACAAAAGTTCATCAAATCTTGAAAATCACATTAAGGATCTCTTCAAAATAATTCTTTTAAATTTCTTTATTACAGTTATATCTTTTAACACATTTTGTATTACAGTCTTTAGTTTGTCAGAAAACGAAGAAGACACACAGCTCAATGGCATTGCAATTAGTTGACAACATGAATTATCAGTTCCTACTAAAATGTGTCCACTGTATCGTATTTTCAAATAAAACAACCTTGTCAAACTCACAGTCAGTCATGGTCCATTATATGATGTTGTAATAGCTCACACAGCCAATAGTGGTTAGCAGGCAGGGAATATGCTAACACATTAGCTTGCTGTTGACAGTGCTTACTCCCCTGTTTGTTATGTGACTCTCACCTTGCAGGTGTGTGGTCTATTGAAGCAGAGATGTTAAAGGGACAGCTCCTCAGTTGATGTCTTCACAGGCAGTCTTAAATGGGATTCTGCATTTCTAATGTCATGTTTCTCAAGGTAGAGCTGTAAAACCAGACTTGGTCTCTTAGCAGCTGTGTCAGTGAGTGGGGAGAGCCTGTTTGAAACATGAACTGGTTGGTGGTGAACCATGGGACCTATGGGACATTTACACCTGCGCGCTCACCATCACGCCAGCACAGTGTTTTCAGTGTGGTAATTTTGTTTTTCTGTAAAGCTGAGCAGACATCTAGCTAAACAGTATTAGACTATACAATGGATTTAGTAGGTTGTAGTTAGCGTAGCATTAAGCAGTATAGGCTAATGAACACAAGCAATTTGTGTTTTGAATGATTTCATGAACTTACTTGTGCTGAGATGCAATGGAAACTTCCATTCTGAGGAAAAGCTGCAGTGCAGACAGAGATCAAGCTAAGCTAACAGGCTAGGCTATGAAAAGGTAGCTAAGCTAGCTTTCATCTCCAGCAGCTCTGTGGAAGCAGCACACGCTGTCCAAGTTTAATGGACGGACTTTGTCATGTTTCTTTGCAAATGCATCACAAACAAATAAACCGTCAGAAGCGTGAATGATGAGTGAAAGGATGTTTTGCAGCCATTTCATATTATATCTAATTAACCATAAGTGGAAAAAATATTTAAATCACTGTGCCTCTCAAATCCTACCTGCAGCTGTGTGTTACATGCATGATACAGTGCATGATTTGACGTTGTGAATCAATCACTCTATCTTAAATGTTAATATGACAACTTTGACTTTTATTGGCTGTTTTGCACAACATGCTTTAGTGATGATCAGATCTTCAAGTGCTTTAAAATGTATATGTATATGTGAACTGAGAATATTCATATATAGAGAAAAAAGAGTGGCTGAGCGTGGTTGTGCTGCGCTCCAGCAGCTTAAATATCCATTCATAGTGCAGTTTCAGTATAAATGATGGCCAACAGTCCAAAACTGAAAGATATTCCGTTTACAAAAATATTAAACAGAGAAAAGTAGCAAATATTCAATAATAATCCAGAATTTTTGGCATCTGTTTGAAGAAAAAACATTTTAAATTAGATGCAGATTATTTTTCTGTTGATTGATTAATCAATTAATTTTTTCAGATGTGCTCTGAATAGAAACACAACACTGTAGATGTGAGCAGGGGGATGGAGGGATAGAGGACAAGAGAGGGCTGAGGGAGAAGTGGAGGGAGGACGAGAGAGGTTCAGCTAGAGAACAAAAGGAGAGAGAGAGAGAGAAAGAGAGAGAGTGGACTCTCAGACAGTTTTTCCAGTGAAAAATGCTTTTGTCCAAATTCCAGTGGACTCATGTTGCTTCTCAGCTTTCTTTCTATTCTTTGATCCCTCGCTCTTTATTTTCCTCTGGGCCCCCACTTGCCCCCTTCTTCTCTTTCTGCCAGTATCTTTCTCTCTCTCTCTTCTTATTTTGTGTTCTTTCACTATGTCTCTCACTCCCGGTGTTTCACTTAGTCTCCGTTTTACTTTCCCTTTTCATTCTCTTTAGTCTCACTCATCTTTTCTTGCTCATTCAATGTTGGGTCACTCAGACCGGACAGATTCCTCTTTTCATTCAGTCTTAAAATTTCTTTTCTTTAAATTCCTTCTATCCTACACACACACACACACACACACACACACACACACACACACACTCACATGAGAAATAACTGTATGCAGAAAACTTTCCAAAGGGATTAGACCAAGTGAGGGCTGATGAAAACACAAAGAATAGAAAGAGAAAAAGAGGGATGAAAATGAGACAGGAGCTGCTAAATACAGGA